ATATATATATATATATATATATATTATTTTTAAAATGTTGATGTGTTGGTATAGTTTTTTTAGTTTTATTTTGTATTTGTAGTTGGCATTTTTTATATTTTATGATTTGTAGTCAATATAATTTTTTTTTATAATTTGTAATGTTGTGATTGTATATTTTAAAACATATTTTTAAAATTAAATATTAATTAAGATTTGTAGTCAATATTATTTTTTAAAATTATTTTTTTATGTAGATGACATCATCAACCTCCACATGTGTAGTTTATGGACTACTAGAGACAAACTTGTTAACATTGTAGGCAAACACATGTTTCTCAACATGTATAGAACAAAGAGCCTAATCATAGACCGGTAAGTCATGCATGTTCGATGCATAATAAAATAAAGGAAGTACTGCATCAAATAGTTTTTGTTTTTTAGACAATGTTGACTTTGAATGGATTGTTAAACTTAATTTTAAAAAAGTTAGCCCTGGTCTAATCTTAGACAGGGTTGAGAGATGGAAACAAGAGACACACATTTCACATGTTATTTGGAGAGTGTACCATTATTCTTTAAGATGTAGCATTTATGTCGTCTCTTAATGGCTACAATAAGGAGATTTGGTTGAATATTTGGCATTTATGTTGTCTTTGTATTATTGCTTTAAGCCTAAAGAGACTTGACTGTAGAATAATACTTGGTTGCTTTTAGGTAGGCTCAACTGTAAAAAAATACTCGGTTGATTAAAGCTTGGAGAGGCTTTGTGTTTAAATAATACTTGAGTAGTTTCTTGAAGATGTAAGTCAAAGAACACTTAGGTTGAGCCAGAAGTAGCTTATGAAAGAATACTTGTATCTTTGTAAAATATAGTGGAACCTGATCGGGTTGATCAAGAACTGGATGTAGTCTCGGTGGTTGAGACAAGCTAGTGTAAAAACTTTGTGTGTTCTTCTTACTTTACTCTTTGTTTGTACTTTTACGGTCTTGCTACTACTTCACTATTTCAAAAAAGTGTTACAAAGAGTTTTTAATTGACATTATTCAACTCCCTTTCTAGTGTCTTTTTTTTCTCCCCACTAACAAACTTCTCACCTTAACTAATGAGCATGCTCACTTTGTAGAGTCTATCGTGCCAACTCTACCTGTTGGTATCAGGGCTCATGTAGAACCAATTGGTGTGCCTCCATCATCCAGGGAAGGAAAGGGAATTCAATTATGAAGGAGGGTGACAGAGAGCCAACAAAATCCATTTACCCCAGTCTTCCAAAAAGACAACCAAGGATGTATTACACTCCTTCTCGAGATCATTATTATCCTTTAGAATCATAATCAACTTATTGGTATCATTCTCCACAATATGGATCTTTTAGTAATTCCCCAAGGTTTAGTCAACATGCATCACAATTGGAGACAACGTCAACACCTAATATGTTTATTTTTTTTGGGCTATCATCACAATCACTGCTTCCATCACCGAACCCTCAAATGATGGCCCAAATCTTTGGATCATCATCTTTATTAACTTCACCACCAAATGTCACAAAACAAGGTGGATCATAACAGGCTCAAGAATCTCCATTCATTATTCCATATGATTCACCATATATTTATGTAAGTTACATGACTAGTTTTGACTTGCATTCTCAGTTTTCAGCTGAGGCATCTTATCAACAATCACCTCAAGTTGATGTCAAGAGAAACCTTGGGAGAGAAGCTAGAAATAGACCCAGAAGACCACAACTTCTATTTGAAATATTACCTTCCTCAAAACAACACACAAAAATAGGTTCAACAACATCATCATCATATGATGGACAATCATCTATACAATCTTCATTTGATTTGTCTCAACTTTGAAAAGATAAAGAAACGTGATAGTCTTCGTTGTTCTTGTCATCTTCATCTTCTTCTCTTGACATAGCTAGCAAACACTGACATAATTATTTGGCATATTTGAAATGAGTCTATCATGCACTTAACATATTCATCATCGATCAATTCTAATGCTTCATATTTATCTTTGGCTAAAAAATGATACTGTATAGATAGTATGACTTGATCAACTCCTAGATAAATTTTTTTTATGAACCTTTTCTAATATCCAAAGTTATACCACACTTTACATACATTCCTTTCTTTCGACCATTAAATATAAAACCTTTAGGACACTAACAAATTCCAGTATAAATAAAAGCCATAATTTGATCCATAATATCTTAGTAATGTATTTGCAAAAAAAAATAAAATGTTAAACAAATAAAACTAACAAAAAAAAAGAATATATATATATACATATATAAATTAAGCACACTCTTATCACTCAAGTTACAAGCAAGCATGCACAAAATTGTCATGATGTTATGAAAAAGTATCAAAATACCTATATAAAGAAGGAAGTTTTTTTTTTTATCACAATCACCCAAGTCTAAGCTTACAAATCGCAAAAGGTAGCTAACTCAACCTTAGAACTAGTCTTCTTTAGCGCCTCCTGATTGGCTAAGGAGAAAGTGATCAAATCCATCACTAACAAGGGGTCAAAACCCTTGTCAAAGAATGTGTCAGTGTCGATTGTGGAAGTACCTTTATTAGGTTTCGACTTCTTGTGTTTTTTAGAATCTTCAAGTTTTTTTTCCTGTTTGATGTTTTCCCTTATGGGGTTGGTGAGGAGGTGACACATGGGTTGGGCTAGCAACAACAAAAACTAGCCTTTGTAAACCTTGTTGGACTTAGGTGGTTCCTGGAAGGAATGGCTATAAGGGTATCACAAGCTAGCTTATCAATAATGGGGTTCACAACAATAAAGCTTCTGGCACCTCAAGAACCTTGATCTGTAGTAGTAGCTAAAATGATCTTCCAATCAAAGTTAAAATTTTGAGTCATAAACTCTATAAAAAGAAACACAAGTTAGCAACAATGCAATATAACTGAGCATATATAATCGAAGACTGAGCACTTACTCTCTAGTTTCTCTTGAGCATTGGGTAAAATGGAGATCTTTAAGATCTCCTTTATTTTCAAGGGCAAAGGTAGTTTCTTAATTATCTTTAAGTTCTCTTGCTTCTTCAAACTCATCCACTCTAGCTCCTAAACATTGTACTTGTAAGGAATACGAGTCCGATAAGAAACAAACTTTGGGGCCAAGTTCTCCTCGTCCCTCAAAATGGGATCCATGAAAGACAAAGCCCTTTTCAAGGTCGACAAAACCTTGAAGTACCCATCTACATTTCACCTATAAAAGATACATTTTTACTTTGAAAAATACACCGGAACACTTTGAACATTTGTTAACTTAGGCATCAAAGTCTTTTTAGCATGTACAACCACCATTTGCAATCTTGAAGACTGAGGATAATGAATTGAAAACTTAGATAAATACTTCTCAATAAGTACAATATATTTATAAAAGGGAAAGTGAGAAATTTTAAGACAATCCTTATTAATTAACAATAAGAGAAATATAGGATAAGAGAAATTAAAGAAAATAATTCAATAATATATTACATTATATTTCATAGTCTCATCTTTATATTTAATATCACCGATCTATTTTTCTAAAATTAAAAGTACATTTTTATTGAGAAATAAAAACATCACATATCAATCGATTAATTATTGATTATTCATTTATTTTTATAATAATATTTTATATATATATATAATTTACTTATATAAATTTTATTTTTATATTTATATAGATTATAAAAAAATGGTGTCCCTATGAAAATAGGACTTTGGTCAATTGTCCACCTTGACCGTATTCAATCTCCATTGAACATCAAATAATTTTTAATTTTAAAAAAATTTACATACTCATTTATGATTTAAGATTTTTTAATTCAATAGTTAAATCAATTTGAATTAATGAAATGAAGTATTAAATGATTTTCAAATTCTTTAAAAACTTACATAATTGATCAAATGTATTAAGAAGTTTAAATTCAACGAATATACCGTTGAAATTTGATGTAGAATATAAGTTATTAAATAGAGTAAGTCTAGATAGACTCATTTTTGAAATAGATGGATCCCTTATCTATACTAATATATAAAGGGATTACAATTTTTAGTAATTACCTTAATCTTTACATTTTGTTGACCATTATACTCTTTTATTTTAAAAAATAATATTTTTAATCAAATTCAATAACTTAAAACTAATAGATTAATTATAACACCAATTAGACTAATATATATAAGAGAAATTCGTTTATTTTAGGAGTAAGTTTATCTAAATTTACTAAATTTATCCCATTAAACTTATATTTTATATTAAATTTTAACAATTCAACTATTAGATTTAAAATTTATAGATAAAGTTTAAATTTTTTTATAAAATTTAAAAATAATTTTATATTATTTTTAAATGAATCTCTCCTTTTTTTTATATATATATATATAAAAAGGTAGATTTGCATAAATTCCTTGTACAGTGTTTACGTGACTGAGGCGAGAAGGCAGAACTAGTGTTCCAGGCTTCCTAAACCCAGAAGTGAATTCAACGGTCCAATGAATCTTCCTTTGATTGGGAATTGATAGAAGAATTTAGAAATCGTAAAAATGCCTCCACAACCTCCTCAACCCAATCCCAACAAGTTCTACTTCTTCTACGGCCACCGCAAGCCCTCCCAGAACCGCCCCACCGTCCGCGGCGGCCTCTTCTCCAATCGCCAAACCCTCAAACCCTCAAACCCCACTCCCAATCCCAATCCCAAATCCAAACCCTTCAACATCAAAAAGTGGGACCCACATTTCCTCTCCACCGCACCCTCCTCCCCCTCCCCGCCACTCTCCGCCTCCCCCCGCCTCTCCCCCCTCGCCCGCTTCATCCTCGACGCCTTCCGCAAAAGCCGCAACAAGTGGTCCCCCGCCGTCGTCGCCGAGCTCTCCAAGCTCCGCCGCGTCCCCCCCAACCTGGTCGCCGAGGTTCTCAAGCAGCATCAGACCGACCCCGCCCTCGCGTCCACCTTCTTCCACTGGGCCGGCAAGCAGCGAGGCTACTCCCACAGCTTCGCCGCCTACAACGCCTTCGCCTACTGCCTCAACCGCCACCGCCTCTTCCGCGCCGCCGACCGCCTCCCCGACCTCATGGACTCCCAGGGCAAGCCCCCCTCCGAGAAGCAGTTCGAGATTCTCATCCGCATGCACGCCGACGCCAAACGCGGCCTTAGGCTCTACCACGTGTACCACGTGATGCGGAACAAGTTCGCCCTCAGGCCCAGGGTGTTTCTCTACAACAGGATCATCGATGCGTTGGTGAGGACCGGCCATTTGGACCTCGCCATGTCGGTTTACGAGGATTTCAAGGAGGATGGGTTGGTTGAGGAGAGGGTTACCTTCATGGCTTTGGTGAAGGGGCTCTGCAAGGGTGGCAGGATCGATGAGATGTTCGCGGTTTTGGGGAGGATGAGGGAGAGCTTGTGTAAGCCTGATGTGTTCGCTTACACGGCCTTGGTTCGGATTCTGGTGCCCGAGGGGAATTTGGATGCGTGTTTGAGGGTTTGGGAGGAGATGAAGAGGGACCGGGTGGAGCCTGATGTCAAGGCTTATGCTACTATGATTGTGGGCCTGGCTGAAGGAGGGAGGGTGATGGAGGGTTATGACTTGTTCAAGGAGATGAAGAGTAAGGGTTCTTTGGTGGATAGGCTCATATATGGATCCTTGGTGGAGGGGTTTGTGGTTCGGGGTCAGCTGGGATTGGCCTTTGATTTGTTCAAGGATTTGGTGAGCTCCGGGTATAGGGCTGATTTGGGGCTTTATAATTCGCTCATTCGAGGTTTGTGCGATTCCAAAAGGCTTCACAAGGCTTATAAGCTTTTCAGAGTGACGGTTCGAGAGGGCCTTGAGCCGGATTTCTTGACGGTGAAGCCGTTGTTGGTGGCTTATGCTGAAGCAAATAGGATGGAGGAGTTTTGCAAGTTGCTTGAGCAGATGCACAAGTTGGGTTTTCAGGTTATTGCTGATCTCTCCAAGTTTTTCTCCCTTTTGGTGGAGAAGAAGGGACCCGTAATGGCATTAGATGTGTTTACTTTCTTGAAAGAAAAAGGTCATGTTAGTGTTGAGATATATAATATTCTTATGGAGTCTCTTCACAAGATTGGTGAGGGGAAGAAGGCTTTATCGCTGTTTGATGAAATGAAAGACTTAAGCTTGAAGCCTGACTCGCTGACATATAGTATTGCGATTCTATGCCTTGTTGACCTTGGTGAAATTCAGGAGGCGTGTGTTTGTCACAATAAGATCATCGAGATGTCTTGCTTTCCTTCTGTTGCAGCTTATAGTAGCCTTGCTAAAGGGCTTTGCAAAATTGGAGAGATAGAGGAAGCTATGTTGCTTGTTCGCGATTGCTTAGGCAATGTTAGTGATGGACCGATGGTGTTTAAGTATAGTCTTACCATTATTCATGCTTGTAAATCAAATGATGCCAAGAAGGTGATTGATGTATTGGATGAGATGTTGGAACAAGGTTGCTCTCTAGACAGTGTTGTATATTCTGCAATCATCTCCGGCATGTGTAAGTATGGAACAATTGAAGAGGCAAGGAAGGTTTTCTCAAACTTGAGGGAGCGCAACTTCTTGACAGAATCTGAAACAATTGTATATGATGAATTACTAATTGATCACATGAAGAAAAAGACAGCAGATTTGGTGCTATCAAGTTTAAAGTTCTTTGGTCTAGAATCTAAATTAAAAGCAAAAGGCTGTAAGCTGTTGCCAAGTTGAAAATAATTATGGGGAGGCATTGTTCTCACTTTTGTTCAACAAGTTGAATGCAGAAAAGTATATGGAAGGATCAACCATTGTTTTTATCTGGTTCTGCATTATCTTCCTTCTGATATCTGATATAAGGCCTGATTGGTACATATTAGAAGGCCTTTTGAAAGCTTTTACAAAAGTCAAAAGCTCTCTCAGTAGAGCTTATGGTGAAGGTCAATTTTTCATCTTTTCGAGAAGCCGTGGAATAGTTTTTGGGGGACAAAATTACCCTCCTGTAAATTTGAAAATGACAATCATGTCCCACACAATTTTTTGACACAGCCAGAAGGACCCTAACTTTCTCTCTCCTGTGCGTTCCTTTTTCGTTCGGCACTCTTCTTCGATTTGTTAAACATCAAAGGTTAGCCAATGCTTAATTTCAAATTTGAATCTCAATTTTTTATTTAATATGTTGATTTTCCATCTGTTGCAAATGCTTCGTGTTCTATTTCTCTTCTGTTTTGTGAAACGAAATTCTGTTTTGTGGTGTTTTGTGAATCATTAATGTTATTACTGATCTGTGGGATATTTCTGTTGAGTAGAGTTTTGAGGATTTGGGTTTTTGTTTTCTGAGTCAAAGATCTTACATTTTAGGTGGGGACTGAGGGCTATGCTTGTTCTTTTGAGTGCTGGTTTGATCTTACATTTTGTTTACACAATTTCAGGTGAGTAGTATAGTGCTGGTTTACACAATTTTAGTAACACTATTTATTTCGGCCACAAAGGACCATTTTCTTTTGGAATATTACTGTTCCTACCGTAAGTATCGTTAGGGTCACCACATCCGAGGTATTGTCTGGTTTGGCTCGTTGGGCCGTCACGGTTTTGTCCTTTAAAAGGCGTCTCGGTGGATTAAGAAGGAAGAGTATTTATAAACTACCCTTAACCTCGACTCCTAAGCGATGTGGGACTTTTAGGCATACCGGAACAAGCCTCCTAGTCGATGCTAAGGGGCAAGAGTAGCCTGGGCCCTCCTTCTAGCGCCAATGTTCCTACCGTAAGTCCGCTGTCATCGTTAGAGTCACCACATCCGAGGTATTGTCCGCTTTAGCTCATTAGGCCGTCATGGTTTTTCCCTTTAAAAGGTGCCTCAGTGGGTTAAGGAGGAAGGGTGTTTATAAACTATCTTTAGCCTCGACTCCTAAGCGATGTGGGACTTTTAGGCAATACCGGAACAATTACAGATATTCAATTTCACTGGATTAGACAACTTCACTTTATAAATCATGACCTGATCAATTAATTTATCCAATACTTGGTGTCAAATACCATAAATCATGTTCTCATTCTTCCTTGATCTTTTTCTTAAAATTACCCAAACTCTGTGAGGAACCCCAAATGGGCTGAGTTTTCAGAGAGATGAGAAAACCAGAGAAAAGAAAGGAAATAGAATGCTTTGGTGTAGTGTTCATTGAATTACAGACAGAACCAAAGGAGAAAGTTCTCCTTCAAAGGGATTTCCCCTTTCTACAATAGAACTAATGCACTGTTCTCATATGATAATAGAACAGAATGATCTCCTACTATTTAAGCTAACCACGTAAGTAACTTTAGTACTTAACTACACTTGACCAACTCTTGCTACGTTGTCGCATTTCCATTTTTTCTTCTGTCATGGATACTTTTGAGCACGCTAATTTACTTTGGAAGCTAGTAGTTGCCCAATAGCTTAAGCATAATTGGTTTGATCTTATATTTTGTTTTTTGTATGCCTACTTGATTCATTGTTCGTAAAGTTGTTTCTGGTTCTTCTCTGAGATAGTCGCTCTCTATGGCTCTTGATTCTTCCTCTCCAATTTTTTTTAACCGGGAAACATCTTCTGTTTTGTAAGTATTGTAAATTGTTGACTCAATGTAATTTGATAGTCTTTCTAAAAGTAGTTCCATTGTAGCTGTAGTAAACTGCAATTTATAAGGATAGTTCATAGTTCCATTATATGCTATATGGTACAATCAATTTTATTCACGTGGTAAACTGGTCTCCAAAATTATTTCAGTATCAAATTATCAATTAGTTATTGTCTCTCTATGCTGAACAACAGTGCCTCTTCACGTAGTAGAAATAGAAAAAGTCTTGGACTGATTTGTGATGACCAACATCTGTTTTTGGTTTTGGATCTAGTTTAGCCAAGAGAGAGAATTTTTTATTTATTGAATATGTTGAAAAAAAAACACAATAGGAGAGAAATATCTCCTCCAAGGGTTTCCCTTTCACAAAGAGCTAATGCTCAATTTACAAATGAACAAATTTGAATGACTCCTCTCTACCAAGTAACTTCCTATTTATAGATGTGATAGGCCTAACCCATGATATCTTTCTAACTAATAACTACTCTGATTCCCTTTATTCTATATCCTAACAGCCAATCTTCAAATTCATACCCAATTGAGTTTGGATTTCGTCTAAATTATTGGATGATTAATGGAAGATTAAGTTATTATTTCAGATTGAGCACTCATTTGGTTTATGTAAAGTGAGATGGAAGATGTTGGGTAATATGGATCCTTTTGCTTTGAAGAAACAAAGCCAAGTCATTGTTGCTCGTATGATTATAACTAATGAGAACTCTTCTATTAAAAATCTAGCCGAGACATTATTATAAGAAGTGATAGAGGATTTGATTTATCTGATGAAACTCTGAATATAGAAAGAACCTGATGCTCAAAGTGCCTTACAAATGAAACAAGTCATAGAGTCTATTAAAAATATGTTTCTGGCACATATTTAATTTCTTATGTTTTTTGGAAATTAACTACGATACTTGAGTTGACAGAAGTTTATAAAAGATTTCAGAAGTTTTTTTTTATATTTTTATTTATATATAATTTCTCTGCATAGCCTGTGGTTGTTGAGGTGAGTTTTGACCTACCACCAGTCAACTCATTACAGGGAAAGTAATTACTATGGTGTTATGATGATATATTATTCATTACAGTCCCCCTCTGTCAATGTATATTCAATATTCAATATACTTAATTCCTTTTTTTTTTAATCTTGTCAGAGTATTGGAAGGATGGAATACCTTTGTAGAAAAAGAAATATTGCACTATAGTTGGATTGGTGCCCTGGCAGAAGATTGTTGATTCTAACAATGTTTTTTATTGGAATGATTCAGCTGCTGAAGAGGCATTTCAAAATGCCAAAAAACGATACTGGGCAGTGGGCAAATATCAACAGCATTCCTTGTGATATTTCTCTGCCTGATCCAGATACTTATATTGATCAAATAGATTGAAACCCTCATATCGTTCCTGAACTGATTAAGGAAATAGATAGTGCATTCTTTAATGTGCCTAACGAAGAACATGAAAATGCCATGAAAAACAAAAGAACAAAAACTTTAGGTAATAGTGAAAATCCTTGGGAATGTACTGATACACCTCTTAGCATAGCCTTAGAAAATAAAGTAGGATGGAACCTGGGAAATCCTGGAAATGTGGATAATACTGACAATCCATGGAAGTGTAGCAATACTCGTGGAAATGAAGGATTAACTAACGATGCTTTGGAAAATGGTGGTCCTGTTGATCCATGGAAAGGACCATAACGATCAATGTAAGGATGGGTATTCTGGAAACTTACAAAAGGATAAAAGATGGGGGGTTGGGGCAGTTCTTGGTGCCAGCAACATTCAGATAATTTGCCTAACATTGGCAACTCTTGGCAATGCAAATCTAGTCAACAGAATGTAACTATAAAGAACACAGGACAGAGAAACAGTGGATCAAATGTGTCAGGATGGAAAAGGCTGATGTTTCAAGTGATTTGCAATTTAGAAGTGATTTTCCGGTTGAAAATTATAATGGGGACAGATTTATTGTTCTCATTTTTGTTCAACAAGTTGACTGCAGAAAAGCATTTGGAAGAATCAATGATTGTTTTTATCTGGTTCTGCATTATCTTCCTTCTGATATCTGTGATATATTCCAATTTTGTGGCTGTAAACAAAAGTTTCTTGCGAAGAATTTGACACATGTTGCAGGATATTGTTGCATATCCCATAACATTGGACTCTTAAATTATGAAGATCGTACATTTCCAGGCTGCAGAGATTGCATCCTTTAACAAGAAGTCACTCCAGAAAGTTAAACTCACATTAAACCACATCTTAAGCTCTCTACATGCTTCATTAGTGTAAATGGAATTCTGAATATCATTTGTTAGTGTCCTTTACACAAATCCAACGTGGAATGAATAGTGGAATATAGATATTTAATATTCATTTTTTATATATATACAAACTATATGATTAAGTGTATTATTGAGACACAAGAATTTATGCAAAATCTCCTTTCCCACACAATCCACCTTTCTCCATCCCCTCGTCAGGTCATAGTTCCCTCATTGGAACTGAATCGAAAGACCCTTTAGCTACATTTCAGGACCATTATTCAGGTGCTGAGATGATTTATTCAGTTACTGTTAACCGTTGGATTTAATTATTGACTATAAAAAATCAGAACATACTCGATAATTTTACTTCTATCTTAATTGGACTTTATCTTTTGCAAATTAATGGCATGTTTAACTTTGTTGATCTATGTATTAACCCATGTTAGATATGTCAGCTTATACCAAAAGCATGTGGGTAGGTTTACAAAGATGATCGATCTATGGTTATACTCAAACTGGACCACTGGCCATTTTTGTTCCTGTTGCACATGGCTCAACTTGGATAAAAACATGGTTGAGGCTAACTCTGAAAGCAATAAAGCAGCAACTAAGACACCTTTACTTCTTTTCAGATATGCCTTGTGCTAGACACCATTATGGATTTTCACCCTTTTTTGTAGCCAGTATATATCCCTATAAGTTATTGGTGTGTTGCCCTTTGGTAACTTGAAATGTAATTTTAACGTATTGAAAATTGAAATATAAATTATTTATGTCTCGTTTCTGTTTGAACCAAAAAAAAATAAAAAACACTCTTGAGATCAAATTACACAGTACACACCAATCAAAATTACTTTTAAATGGATAAAGGCATTCTTTAAAGTTACTCAAAAAATAACAATCGGCATAAAGGTTCACGGCAAACAAAATAGTAGGTGATGACTACAAAGGGATTTGTGTCTACTCACAGATGAAACAAAGCTATTTGTTCCGCACTGAAATGTGAAAACTAGGAAAATATAGCGTATTTACCTTATCTTTTCCATTGGTATTTTGAAAATAAATAGTATTTGTTCTTACATCTGGAAAAATGAAATGCTCTGTTGCATCACATTATAAACCTTTTCATTTTTCAAGGTATAGACATTAGATTCATCTTACATGATTAGCGCTATTTCAAAAGATTATATGGCAAGCTAACCAATACATGAACTGGGAAACTTGAAGGTTGATGATTGAAGTAAGACACCTCTCCTCTCCCATTACACCGGTGAGTCTGCTGATCTAAAATACAAACACCATCAAATTTTAAGCTTCCCTTTTGGGTCTGTTGCGAAGGGCAGGCTGTCGCACGTAAGTCTCTGCACTGCTCTCCTCTTGGCCGCCACCGTCATCATCATCGTCATCGTCATCATATTCATCAATTTCCAACGCAGCTTCATTTTTGGCCATCTAGCATTTGTGAACAAATCAGAGGTAATAACCCTTTCTAACCTAAATTCAATTTCCTCATAACAAGAACTATGGTCAGAAACGTTACCTCCTCGAGCCAGTCTCGGTCCAGCTTATCGCCCATTCGAAGCGCCGCTAAGATGGTGACGCCCAGAAGAGACGAGGGAAGCGCGACGGCGAAGAGGATGCTTTTCATGGTGGGACCCGCACGAGCCCCCGCCGCCGACCCCCTCCGGCTCCGACCGCCGCCGTGGATGCAAAGCGCCGGCGAGTTCACGGGTGGGGCCCTCAGCCTGAAGGAAGCGAATGCAGATATTGGAGTGGAGACGCGCAACAAGGTACCCATCCTTTCTTTCTCTCCCTTCGTTATCTTCACCTTCACCTTTTACGTATCAAAAAATTATAATATTATTATTCATATATTATTTCCATTCTTTTTTAACTATTAAATGATTCTAAAATAACAATTTAAAATTATTTATATTTTTTCATTTTCAATAATTGAAAATTATAATCAATCACTATTATGTATAATTAAATACGAGATTAAAATATTTTTAAGAGATTTTTCTTTAACAAAAGAATTTGCACAAATTTCTAATTCAATTTTTATTTATTATAATTATTTATGAATTAAATATAATATTTTAAAATAAATTATCTATAATTAAAAAATTTATTATAATATAAATTATTTATCACATGTTTAAAAATATTTATTTATATAAATTTTAATATAATTTATATCTAAACATAGTATTTATTTAAAATTTAAATATAATTATATCAGTTAAAGGAGTAGTATTTTTGTAATTTGGATATACAAGTTTACTAATTGGTTTAACGTATTACCGAAAATAAATAGAATTCTATTTTAATATTTTAAATTTATTATGTCAAAAATTTAGAAATTTTTTATAATAAAAAAATATTAATTAGAATAAAATGAATTGAAAATATAATTTTAATTTTTAATTTATTCTATTTAGAGCTAACTAATGTTTTTTTTAATGGACACCCAATAATAGGGAAATAATTCTTCTTAAGCATAAATATTATATTTTCCTATAAAGCATTTTGCATTTGGTCGATCAGAACGGAAAAAGATTCAATGACTTGAGAAATCAAAGTCACTATAACTTTTCTCTTACAATAGACCATTGGATTAATATTTGTGATTTTTGTCAAGTGTCATAAAATATAAAAAAAAAAAACATATTTTACAAAATATAAAAGCATGTACATAAAAATTAAAATGTATAAATATAGATAAAAAAAATATACTAATATGAGTTTACTTATTAAAATTATAATCCCTAAATTTATAAAATATAATCAATTTTTTTATTCATTGTGTTTAACCGTAAAGAGAATGACATAAGTACGTAAAAATTTATTTATTATATTAACTTTAATTATATAAAAATTATTTATATAACTCACATGCTACAGTATTAATTAACATAAAATAGATATGATTACATAAATATCTTACACTAATGGTATATTATTAAATTAAATAATCTTTATTTTATATTTTGTAAGAATATTTTTTATATTTTAAGATACTTGGTAAAAATCTAAAGAACAATATTGATAAGGTCAATGAATCCACTCTCGATTGGGACTCAACTTTAATAAACATACTTCGAGCATTTTTTTTCCAATCTATATTAATTTTTTGTTGTTGACAATATATATATTAAATGTTAATATAATAATTTTCTACTTCTTCAACTATTTTGAAAAGTGAATCAATTTTAAGTTAAACATATCTTAAGTTTTAACATGACATTCTTCTACTCTAAAAAGTTTATTATGAATTTATTATGAAAATATATTTTATTAAAAAAATTAAAATAAAATAAAGTTCTTTAATCACATTATAAAAAGATTTTTATGTCTTGTCAACTGAATAAAAAATTTTAATTCTTAACAAGAGAATAAAATAAAAATAAGTTCACAATTGGATTCACAAATATGCCTTTACAAATGCTAAAAAATGGAACATAAAGAAATTGTGGAGAAAAGAAAGATACTAGAAGAGAAGAGTGAATAATATCAATAAAAAAAACTTAACATTTCTTTTTGAAATAGTGAAGTAATGCAAACAAAACAAAAACAAAGAATACAATGTGTTTTCATATTAGTTCGTCTCAACCACAAAAATTATGTCCAATTCTTGATCAAGTTTCACTATCTTTTGGAAAGATACTAATAATCTTTAACAAACCACTTATAGTTCAACTTAATTAATTTTTTTATTTGTCTCTTTAAACAAATTATTCAAGTATTCTTTAAACAACAAATTCTCTATAGACTTCAAAACCAAGTTTTTTTTAACAAGCTAAAACACACGGATAAAGTTGGATAAAAATAACAATTGATTCATCTTTCTCATAAGACATGATACAACTTTTAAGAATAGAGGTTTATATAGAAAGAATGAATGAATAAAAAGTTGAAGTTGTTCTCTCTTCTTTCTAAGTTCTTCAAGCTTCTTTATATATATATATATATATATATATATATATATATATATGTTTTAAAAAA